GGTTATTTTTAGGTCTCTCAATTTAGGCATTAGATACTATTACATTTGGGTAGGGATTTTTTTTTTTTTTTACCCTCCCAAGTTAGGAGTATCTATAGTGTTTCCACACTTTTCCTCCATGGTGACTCGAACCCAGGACCTAACGATCGTAGGTGGAGGTGTTTTTACCAACTGAGCAAGCCTCACTTGTCTCCTGGGGTAGGGATTAGGTTAGGGGTATGGGCCTAAAAATTATGGGCTTGGGAATTATGTGCTAGGTCCAAAATTAGGCCTAAAATGGGTTGCTCGAGCACAAGTTTTATTCTTTCCACGCGAACGAGATTAAAATATGATCTCATTTATTAATTGGTCCTACTTAAATAAAATAACTATTAAAATAGGCTGACCATTAAAACAACACTATTTTTGGTATTTTTCAAGATTAAAAATAACTACAAAACATTAATGAAATTATTTTTTTTTGTAATTTTCGTTTTCTTGCAGTAAAATAAAGTAAAAGAGTCAAAAGTAATTAAATAGCTATATTGGGCCTAAATTAAATATCTACGTGCTAAAGTGGGTAAAATTTCGGGGATGGTCAAAAATCACATGTCTACAATGTCTTTAGTGGGTAACGACGGAACCGATGTGAAATGATCGTCGACAATATTGTTGATATAATGTAGCGCTCAATATTATTAATATTGACAAGGATCTTGAGCTTAAATCTGTCATGGAATTTAGACAGATAAATGATTGGTCAAATGAAAAAAATACACAATGAAATTTGATTTCACCTGAAAAATGTGAAGTTGGACGGTTAGTCCCAACACCTGAAAGTGAAATACAAAATCAAGTCGATAGAGATAAAGACGACTTGTGGCACACGATTTTTCATAAATATCCTGCATTAGTTATATGGAGACAGGTTCTCTTGTGGTGGATGAAATTGTTTTCAGGTTTTAATATGGCAATACATGAAAAACTTGATATGTATATAATGAAAATCCTTGAAGGATTTAAACTGTTCTGAAGCATATAGAGGTTCCCAAAATTTTTTATTAAATAAAGCTTCAACAAATCCTTATGTGGATTAGAGCAAGCATAGTGTGTATGATTTATTTTTGTGTCTGTTGCAATTGGTGCACTATGTATCTTGCTAGAACCATTAGTATAACAATATGCTAGGAAGATCTAGTTTTATTTCTATATGAAGATATTGGAATACTATTAGTACTATACTGCAAAAGGAATATTTGATATATATTTGTTTATGAAGATATAGATTTGTTTATTTGATATAGAAGTCCGTTCTTCAAACAATCTATTTGTATGTGAGGGAATTATCATATTATCATTTTACAAGGTTGTCAATCATTGATAATTATTCAAGTCATGTCAATATACTAACAACTGATGAAGCAAGTGACTTAACACACTACAGATGTGTGACTTTTCTTCGAAGAGAAGATTCCAATAATAGTGAAGACGCTGATGTTTGCTTATCTCAATTGAAAGAAGGATACATTGAAGGAGACAGAATAAATCCTATATTTCATCAAAGTTCTTTGCCAGACACAATCTTCAACAGAATGATGAAATAGATGTTCAAGAAATTCATTCAAGTGATAATTTGGCGGAATAATTCACCAAGGCATTACCGGTCTCAAGATTAGAGAAGTTGTTATACAAGCTTGGAATTTTTCATCTCCGAGAAATAAAGTGATGTTTTCATCGGGGGGTACATACACGCTGTACTCTTTTTACCCTAGCTAAGATTTTATCCCACTGGGTTTCCTGACAAGGTTTTTAATGAGGCAGCAAGTAATGCGTATTACAATATATGTGTACTCTTTTTCCTTTACTAGGATATTTTTCACTGGGTTTTTTTTCCTAGTAAGGTTTTAACGAGCCACATTATCTATAGACATCCAAGAGGGAGTGTTGTGAAATATTATAATTATATTAGTGGATGTATATAACTTCTAAAGAAGTTACTCCCACTACTCTTCTCCATTATCTTCATAACTCTCACTACTCCAATACTTATGGTTGTAACTCGCATGCTTCCATAACCTCCCTCATGATCTTCCTCAATGATCTCAAATGTTTAATGTCATTCTTTTGTATACCTCTATGTAATCCTATAAATAGAGGGTTTTGGCACCACATTGTACACACTTGGAAAACACTTGAATACATGGAAGAAATAAGAATCCCTCTTCTCTTGCTCCCTACATTCTTGTCTATTTTCTTGTTTTATATTATTACTTTGAGCTAAGTTTCTATAATGACCCGACCGGTCATTTTGAGCTTTTGCACTTGATCGCTAGTTCTTGGGCATGACTTGCCCCGTGTAATGTAATATAACTGATGTAGATCGTTGGTTTTGGTTTTCAGGAAAATCGGAATGAATTTGAAAGAATAGTCTCAAATGAAAGGTTTGACCAAGAGTTGACTTATTTTTATATGAGCTCGGAATGGAATTTTTATGATTTGGTTAGTTTCGTTGGGTGATTTATAACTTAGGAGCGTGATCGGAATTGGTTTAGGAGGTCCGGAGTAGAACTAGGCTTGAATTGGCGAAGTTGAGATTTTGGCGATTTCCAGTTGGTAGGTGAGATTTTGATCCGGGAGTCGGAATGGAGTTCCGAGAGTTGTAGTAGCTTTGTTATGTCATTTGGGATGTGTGTGAAAAATTTCAGGTTATTCGAACGTGGTTTGGTTGGGTTTTTGATCGAAAACGTATTTCAGAAGATTTTAGAAAACTTAGGCTTGAATTCGATGAGTTTCGGGTAATTTGATGTTGTTTGAGGTGTTTTGATGATTGGAACAAGTTCGAATGATGTTATGGGTTATATTGGTAGGTTTGGTTAAGGTCCCGAAGGCCTCGGGTATGTTTCGGGAGGTTAAATGGATCAATTTCATGTTTTGAGAACTTTAGAAATTGCAGGTTTCAGTTGCAGGCATGTTAGACTTTAGAAGCTTTGAACTTCAGAAATTGTAGAAATTGCAAGTTTCAGAAATTGGACTTTTGATTTGGGATTTGAAGGACCATTTGGAGTCGGATTTAAGAACCTTTGATATATATGAACTCATAAGGAGATAAGGAATCTAATGATGTAAAAATTTCTGAGTTTTGAGAAGTGGGCCCGGGGCTCGGGTTTTAGTAATTTCAGGATCTATACTCAATATTGATTGTTTTTGCTTGGGCTTTATTTCCCTAGCATATTGTGATGTATTCGTTCTAATTTTTGATAGATTCAACGCGTGTGGAGGCCGATTTGAGGGGCAAAGGCGTCGCGAGCTAGGGATTTTGCCGGTTCGAGGTGAGTAATGATTGTAAATGATACTCTGAGGGTTTGAAACCCTGGATTGCACATCGTAGTGCTATATTGAGGTGAGACACGCGCTTGATGATGAGCGTGGGGTCGTTTACTATTGGGGATTGTGACTTGTTCCGTCCCGATTGATGATTTTACCGCGTATTTGACTAAAACTTATTTGTTATCATCATGATTTGGGTTGATCGCCATAATTGGGCTTCGTGCCAACTATCTTAACCCTTCAGGGATTTTTATCACTATTTCCTCAATGTTTTTGAATTATTACTTGAACTCAGTCCTGTTGATATCTACTGTTTTTACAAACTCAGCCACTTTTACTCAGATTTGAAACTTAAATGATATTTCTAAATGATGTTTTGGGCTGAGAACTACTGTTTTACTAATGCCCGAGAGGCTTGTGATGATTTTCGGACTGAGTGAGGCTGAGGGCCATATGTGAGGATATATTGAGTGATATGAGGCCGAGGGCCTGAGATACTTTTATACGACACGGTGTGGCTTAAGTGATATGAGGCCGAGGGCCTAGATTTGATGCCACGAGATGGCTTGATATTGCGTTTGGGCCGTAATTGGCCCATCCCGGAGTCTGCACACCCCCAGTGAGCGCGGGTACCCATTGTGATCACAGAGTAAGCCCGAGGGGCTGAGAGTGTTCTGAGAGTGAGCCCGGGGGGCTGGTACTGTTCTATGTGTTTACTTTATTTCCATTTGTCTGCCATTACGTGTTGATTGTGTTACTTTATGTGTTATCTTCCTGATTGCCTAGCATTACCTGTTAAATTGAGTGTTGAGCCCGAGGGGCGGATTTCTGTGCTTATCTGCACTAATTATTTTGCATTCATTTGCATAACTGTTGAAAAAGCCATTTTCAAAAGAGGTTTAAACTGAGCTAAGATATTTCTAAAGATTTCACAGCTTCACTGTTTTTCTCAAGGGTTTTACACCGCTTTTATACAGCATGTTGATTTGCTTTACGTGATTTTTTACTGCTCAGTTGTTATTTACCTTTATTACTCACTGAGTTGGAGTACTCACTTTACTCTCTGCACCTCGTGTGCAGATGCAAGTATTTATTCACCCGGTAGCGGGGGTTGAGCTGATCGGAGGCTGAGTCATTAGAGTTTAGCAAGGTGGCTGCCAGCATTCGCAGCACCGCTCTTCTCCCTTCTCTTTCATCAGTCCTGTTTTGTACGTTCAGACCTTGTAGTCGTATTTATACTCTAATAGATGCTCGTGACTTGTGACACCTCGGTTTAGGCTGTGTAGGGATGGTTTCTACTGTTGTTATCGTTATTTCCGCAAATTATGGTTATTATATCATGTTTAGAACTACTTATGGTATTTAACTGTTTAAAAGAGGTGGTCTGTTTTGGTATGGCTGGCCTTGTCTTCACGAGAGGCGCCATCACGACCGGGTTCGAATTAGGGTCTTGACAGTTTCTTAATAGAAAGATATTTTTCCAAA